AGGCGAAATACCCAACAAGAAGTTTGTAAAAAAAATTATAATTACATTTAACAGTTTTAGTTACAACAGTTTGTTACATCGTTTAAACTTCTCATACGTGAAATGAAGTGGGACTGAAGTTAAAGCTCTAAAGCACAGTAGCTTGAAAAAAATCCTTATTCTCAAACAGAACACATCATTTTTTTAGCCAAATACAGAAGAGATTTAGCTCTGAAATATCTGAAATTTGAAGCCAAATGCGACTACGGGAAATTTTTCGTTAAAAATTTCTCACAATCAAATAAGAATAAAAACCACATTGTATGTTAATCCATGTATAGAAGACACTTGACTCTAAAACATTTGAAATTTGCAACCAAATATGACTACGGGCTTTTGTTCCTGAAATTTGTAAACTATGCATGAATGTTTTGATGAATCCTTTCAAATTAAGTGCTCAACCAGACTGATATGGAAAATATCTGCGCATCTACAGAAGAATCGGTAGAAACCTGTTGCTGTATATTGTTATAGAAGACATGACTGTTTAATTTTCAAACGTTTGGGTTAGTTTGGGTTAGTCCAATTTTCAAAAGATTGAATAAGCTACAAAGATTTCAGAGTGAAATTTGCATACAAGTGGGACGACGGAAATTTTTTCTTGAAACTTACAAACTGTGCTTGATTTGCAAGGCCTCAAAGCGCTCAAGAAGACAGACACGGAAAATTTCTGCCCATCCACACATGAACCGCTAGGAACTTGTCGCTCTTTCTATTTATAAAGGACACTGAAGGGTTGAATTTGGAAACGTTTGAAGCAAACGAGAATTCAAGGATTTCTAGAGTTAAACTTTAAACTTTTCATTCCTCAACTTCCTTCTTAAACTTTTAATTGACTTTCAAAAATTCTTCACGTTCAAACAGGTCTCTTGGTTTTGCTCAAACAAGTGACATTTGCAAGCAAATGAGACAACGGAAATTTGTCCCTGAAAGAAGCAAACTTTCCTTGATTTGAAACGACTTAAAGCGCTAAAGCAGACCGACATCAAAAAATTCGGCACATCCACATAAGAACCTGAAGCAACGTTTCGCCATGTTCGTTTATAAAATGAATTTAACAGTTTAACTTACCACAGTTGGAAGCAAGAGAACACGTTTACATTTTAAACTTCTCATACTTCAAAATCCCTCTTAAGCCGTCAATGGACCCCTGCAAAAGCTCTCAAGCACAGTGGATTTTAAAAATTCCTCATGTTCAAGCAGGAAACCATAGTGGCTTCTTCATCTACCCAGGTATAGGAACACTTGACTCTCAAACATTTGGAATTTGCATCGAAATCGATCCGCCGGAATTTTTTACTGAAATTTACCAGCTTACCAAACCAAAGCTTTGCACCAGACTGAATTTCGCAAATTCCTCACAGCCATACTAGAACCAGTGTGGCTTTGTGCCTTTATGGACGACACATCATCGCCCAGGTCTAGAGAATGACTCTGGAAAAATTAGCCAGAAATCAATGTCCTCCATACAAAGTACGGCTCTGTACACCATTCCAGATAGAGAACAGCGCTAGGTCAGCGCAATAATGTATCTTCGACTGACACCAGACCATATAAATGTCTCGCCTTAATGTCTTTTAAAACCCGAAAACTCTTTCGCTCAGTCCGGAAAACGCCGGCACCATCGCTGGATTTATGTCGTCTGATGGGATAAACTTGAGTAAGCGAAATATACTCACCGAAACTAAAGAAAAACAATCATCGAACATTTAGGCGTGTGTGTGTATGAGTGGCTCCAAAGCAATGAAAATGAAAATAATTGTGAAAGTAAGCGGGTGGTTAAGCAGGCCGACGCAAATGGAGCAATGTGGGCCATAAAGAAGCTAGAAAAGTGCGCTAGGGGGGTAATAGCTAGAAGTTAGCTGGTGGAGCGAAACTTTTCATTACAAATAAAGGAACTGCGCGATAGGGCAAGGTAAATTTACCCAAAGCTCGTTTTCCTTTGCGTTATTTTATTTGCGGAAGTGGTGAATCAAGTAGCTGGGATAAAAAGTTTATTTTGTGTGGCCGGGCTCGGAGACGGGCTTTCGGCCCAAATTGAGTGCTATTAGTTTCTATTTTCTCGCGCTCGAACGCCGATAAGGCAAAATCGCTTTCCTTTCACTTAGATGAACGATTCAGGCAATTGTGGCAGAACAAGTAATGAAATAACCGGGAACATGTCGCGGAAGCAACGATTTTTTCCTTAAAAACGTGCTTAACACTTGCGCCATATCTACACTTGGTGTGAGGCGGTCGAAAACCTTTCGATTTGGCTCGTTTAAGCTCAATCAGTTCATTTCGAGTCAAAAGGAAGGTTCATTTGATCAGCTTCTTGACTTGCAGTTGCAGCATTTTGAGGTTCCTTTTCTGGTTAATTCGATTTTCTTTTTTGTCATTTTTATGAGACAAATTTGATACCGTACGAAAGCCCTGTAAGGCAGCCCCGTTTAGGTTTTTTCTACACTTTAAGGCCATGCTTCTGCACACATTGTGCAGAAGCAAGGTCTTAAAGACTCTGTGTTATAGACTCTGGCTATTTTTCAAGTCTAGAATTTTTGTCGGTAAATTTACCAGCGTTTTTCGTTTCGTTTTCGAAATTGTCACTCTCGCTACTCTCTTAATTAATTTTCTAAACTTTGTTTTTCTAGGAAAAATATATTGATGTTTTCACGCCTCAGGCTAATTTGTGCTTCTATTCGGAGTTAGATAAAAAAAAATGTTGCTTTCCTGGGAGGAGAAAGAAAGGTTTTATAATTTTCTTTGAAAAATATGACTGCTTATAAAAATTAATAAATCTGGAATGGTTTTGAAAAGGGGAAGTGAGGTCTGCTCTCAAAAACGTCCAGCACCAAATTATCGTGAAAGGACCTTTCTGATTTTTTGCAAATAGACGGTTTCTATTACAAGAAAGCTCAGCGCAGGCGGACGGGAGAGAGCCCAGATGGCAAGTCAGAAATGAGACATTAATTTATCAGAAAAAAAGTAAAATGTATTTTGTAATTTATATCAGCTGGTCAAAAAATATTTCTGTTTGCAAAACTGCGGCGTCTGAGATAAAAATGTCTTACTGTCGATTTAAAGCGAGTACGAACGTGTAATTTTCAGACTGCATGGAAAGCACTTGAGTCTAAAAACTGTGCAAATTTCATTTAAGTCGCATCAGATGCTGATTTTTGCGATATTTTCAAATGTTGTTTTTTTTTTCGTTCTCATGCACCTTTCGCTTCTCACATAAAAATTTTTAATTTTCGATCCTTAGCGATTAGCATTGTGAAATACACAAAGGCAACTGAAAACATTTGCATATAAAAACTGTGCAAATTTAATTTAAATCGCACTGGATGCTGATTTTTGGGATTCTTGCAAATATTCGTCTAAAAATTATTCTTATTTATTATTAGCACAACTGCAGCGTCTCAGATAAAAAAATTTAACTCTCGATCCAGAGCGAACATCAAAGTGAAATTTACAAACTCTACAGAAAACACTCTAAACGTTCTGAAAATTCCATGTAAGTGAGATCCGCTGCTGATTTTTGGGATCTTTAAAATGATGAAATGAAATGAAACTCTTAAAATTTCATTTAAATCGCATTGGATACTGATTTTTGGAATCCTTCTGAAAATTGGTATAAAAATTATTCTTTCGTGCAATTGCCGCGTCTCAGATAAAAATGTCTAACTGTCGATCTAAGGCGAATATCAGCGTTAAATTTACACACTGCACAGAAAACACTCGACTTTAAATGGTCTGAAAATTCCATGTAAGAGGGATCCGACGCTGAATTTTCGGATTTTTGAAAATGTTGATCTAAAATCAAAGTCAGCGCCACTATTAAACAGCAAGGGGCATCTACTGATGAAGATCTAGCGAAGATAAAAATCAACCACATCAGCAGAAAACACTGAAAAGTGATCCACTAACAAACAATATTAACAAGAAACTAGTTGAAGCTATAATAGAAGCTGAGCCCGTCTGAAAGAAGCTAAAATTAAGCTAAAACAGCAGCATCCAATGAAGCAAGGAAAAATACTGGAAAGTGATGGAAACAAAACAAATAAATATTAGGAGCAATTAGAAAGGACATACGAAAGCGCGAAGGGAAAAGGATTGTCAAAACTATCGAGGAAATCTAGAGCTTGAAAATATTGAAAATTTCCAACTCCATTGAAAGACACCCAAACCAACAAAGGCTTAAAAACATATATTTAGTCAAAGACGAAGTTTCAAGTTTGGTTCTGAGGAAACTATTGCACAACATGTTTAAAATTGAATGACATTTTTTCTATTATTTGTCTTGGGCAATATGGAATCCCCATTTCTGACTCTCGGAATAACTGCCAAATAATTAAGCTACAAACTGCGAAAAACCAAGCTAAAATCCGCTACTTACTGTAAAAATTAGAAGCCTTTGAACTTTTCCAAAAAAAAACAGGTGCTCCACTTTTTAGAAGCTCGCCGATGTTGTACACTTTCTAAATAGGCGTAAGAGAAATTAGGTAAAAACTTAAGACAAATAGCTGGAAAAAATGACCCTGACACATTGTGCAGAAGCATGACCTTAAAGTGATTATAGTGGTTGAATTAATTGTGTTATAGACTCTGGCTGTTTTCCAATTCTGGAATTTTTGTCGGTAAATTTACCAGCGTTTTTCGTTCGGATTTTGTTCTCTTACTGAATATCCTTGCTGCCCTAGATTTCTGCACTAATTTGTCTAAATTTAATTTGGAGTTGTACACATTTTCTCGCATTAGTTTCATCATCAATTTCACACGATCGATCATCTTTTTTCAGTGCCAAATTGGAGTTCTTGTGGTTTATCTTCCAGATCAATCCAATCAATTAATTTGTAATCAATTGATTCCTCTAAGTTTGCTGTTTTGTTCTCGTCTGCTTTCTGGCACATGGAGATTTTAAACATACTTTCGATGCAAATTGAAATGGGAAAATGAATGTAATAAATAATTTATTGTTCCAGATTCTGAATCAACCAAACCAGTCCGGATGGCGCTATAAAAAGGGTGAGTAAATAACAGCCTCAATTGATCTAGTTTATGTTATATACGATAGAAACGCGGGAAACATCCAGAAAAGTTCCACAAAATGTTAAAATGAAATTTAGCTCGCAAATATCTCTCTTTAAATAAGTGACTTTCTAACAAGATTGTCTTAGAATCTAAGAAGGAATCCTAAAAGCTCGCTTCTGGTGAAAACCTCGTTAAACTTATCTCGATTGGTTAATTTGGCCACTCATCCACTACACAAAGTCCGATTCGCAACGATCCAAATCCGAATTTAATGAGAATGGCTGAAGACTGCAAATGCCGGCGGGCAAAATTTTCGGTTTCAGTGAAACTTTGCTGAAAAGGGTTGAAGCTGAGTGACAGTTTTCGAGTCGATCCCGACCGGATTAAAAACCGAAATCCCGTCTAATTGATGACAACAATCTGGATTTTAATGGTTGAAATGAGCCCTCGGCGTTGACATGCCGATACCGAACCGAAAAGTGGTTTTGTATTCGTTACGTTTGGCCACCGCAAGTGAATCACACCAATGTGGCCTAAATTGGCCGAGCAAATCGCCTCGGATTTTATCCGGATTAAAAGTTTAATTACACGGAAATTGAGCATTTTATTAATTAGTGCCGATCTTGAAACAATGCGGATAAATGCAAATGTTGCGACGGTCTGATGGCAAAGTCGGAACTGCTCTTGCTGAGTTAGTAGTTCAGTTTAATTAACTCCAACTTGCCTGTAGTGGTTAATGATCGTTTTACTTCAGCAACAAGCCAGGAAGCTGGAAATTAGTTTAGCTCGAAAAAGTTTTTGAAAGGGCCATTTTTTTCCGGCTATTTGTCTTAGCTTTTTACCTAATTTCTCTTACGCATATTTAGAGAGTGTACAACATCGGCGAGCTTCTAAAAAGTGGAGCACCTGTTTTTTTTTGGAAAAGTTCAAAGGCTTCTAATTTTTACATTAATTAGCGGATTTTAGCTTACTTTTTCGCAGTTTGTAGCTTAATTCTTTGGCTCTTATTCCGAGAATAGGAAATGGGGATTCCATACTGCCCAAGACAAATAATAGAAAAAATATCATTCAATTTTACTCATTTTGTGCAATAGAACCTTACTTGAACTTATTCCTTAGAACCAAACTTGAAACTTCCTCTTTGACTAAATATATATTTTTAATGAACAGCTTATAAGCCTTTGTTAGTTTGTAGCTTGGGTGTCTTTCAATGGAGGTGGAAATCTTCAGTATTTTCAAGCTCTAGATTTTTCTAGATAAATCTTTTTCCCTTCGCGCTTTCGTATATCTTTTCTAATTGCTCTTAATATTTATTTGTTTTGTTTCCATCACTTTCCAGTATTTTTCCTTGCTTCATTGGATGCTGCTGTTTTAGCCTAATTTTTGCTTCCCTCAGACGCGCTCGGCTTCTATTATAGCTTCAACTAGTTCCTTGTTTATTGTTAATATTGTTTGTTAGTGGATCACTTTTCAGTGTTTTCTGCTGATGTGGTTGATTTTTTTCTTCGCTTTTTCTTCATCAGTAGATGCCCCTTGCTGTTTAATAGTGGCTCCGACTTGATATTAGATCAACATTTTCAAAAATCCGAAAATTCAGCGTCGGATCTCACTTACATGGAATTTTCATAATAATTAGACTCAAGTGTTTTCTGTGAAGGGCGTAAATTTCACGCTGATATTCGCCCTAGATCGAGAGTGAGACATTTTTATATGAGACGCCGCAGTTAAGCTAAAGAATAATTTTTAGACCAATATTTACAAGAATCTCAAAAATCAGCATCCAATGCGATTTAAATAAAATTTCGAGAGTTTTTAGATGTAACTCCTTTCTATTGGGAATATACATTTCACAACGCTACTTGCTCCAAATCGATAATTGGAAATTTTTATGTGAGAGGTGGAATGTGCGTCAAAACGAAAAAAAAACCCAACATTTGAAAAGATCGCAAAAATCAGCACCTGATGCGATTTAAATGAAATTTGCACAGTTTTTAGATTCAAGTGTTTTCCATGGAGTCGGCCAACTTTTACAAAGATCGTAAAAATTAGCATATTTTGCGATTGAAATAAAATTTTCCGAGTTCTTAGAATCAAGTGTTTTCTATGGATCGTGCAATTTTCACGCTCAGTCTTTTTTCGGTCTTAGTCCAGAGATACAAAGTTTGATCTGAAAGGCTGCCATTGCGCGAAAAACAAAAATTTTACCATCAACATTTTCAAAGATCCCAAAAATCTGCATCGGATCCCATTTACATGGAATTTTCAAACCATTTCGAGTCGAGTGTTTTCTGTGGAGTTCCTGTTTAATAGTTCGCTCCAGATCGAAAATTATAATTTTTTATGTGGGAGGCGGATGGTGCGTCAAAACAAACAAAAACAAACATTTGAAAATATCGCAAAAATCAGCATCTGATGTGACTTAAATGAAATTTGCACAGTTTTTAGATTCAAGTGTTTTCCATGCAGTCTGAAAATTACACGTTCGTTCTCGCTTTAAATCGACAGTAAGACATTTTTATCTCAGACCCCGCAGTTATGCAAACAGAAATATTTTTTTAACCAGCTTATATAAAGTACAAAATATACTTTTTTGCTGATAAATTAATCTCTCATTTTCTGTCTTGCCATCTGGGCTCTTTCCGTCCGCCTGCGTTGAGCTTTCTTGTAATAGAAACCGTCTATTTGCTAAAAATCAGAAAGGTCCTTTAACGATAATTTGGTGCTGGACGCCTTTGAGAGCAGAGTTCACTTCCACAACCATTCCAGATTTATAAATTTTTTATGAGCAGTCATATTTTCCAAAATAAATTTATAAAACCTTTCTTTCTCCTCCCAGGAAAGCAAATTTTTTTATGTAATTCCGAAAAGAAGCATAAAAAATATCCTGAGGCGTGAAAACAACAATCTATTTTTCCTAGAAAAACAAAGGTTAGAAACTTATTTAAGAGAGTAGCGAGAGCCACAATTTCGGGAGGAAATTGTATCTAAAAATTAATATCTCTCGAACGGCTTAGAATAAACGGACGAATAAACATCTAAATTTCAGACATGATGCTTTAAAATCGTATTCTTTTTTCACTCGATGCTGCCCCATATTGCCCCCAGAAATCCTTAAGATTTGCCCGAGAAAACGTGACTTGATGATTTAAACACCCTGTACAATATGCAGGTTTGAATTTTTTTGCTTTTTTAGCACATAATTTTGTCCGGATTTTTAGAATAAAGCTATGCTTCGATCAAAAAATTGTTAAAATCGGCTTACCGATTGTATGGTTGGATATTCACATTTAAAAGATCTAACTTTGCGGCTTACTGTATAAATAAATATAATAAGAGCTGGCTTGCGTGCACAATTTTGTATGTAACTAGACTCGCTACTTAAAAGCTACCAAAGTTACTTAAAATATTTTATTTCACTCGTGTTTTTCGGCTTAAATGAGTGCTGGGAAGCGTACTTTTATTAAATATTCTGGAAACTTGTATAGAAGTTCATACTATGGCCGGAAAATCAGACCAGGAGTGTACGAAATTGTGGGGGCAGGATTTGTGAAAGCTTGCAAATATTAAGTTTCCATATGAAAAATATGGAAAAAAATAAATCAGTTTTTAATGGTTCTCGCACAATGGAGAGCATACTTGATTAAAAAGTCAACTAAATGTGGAATTTCGTAAATTTTCCCAGGCCTTATACATAAAGATTCCATACAAAGTTGATAACGTTTCTAACGAAAATGTTATTATATATTTGGATCAAAATGTAAATAACATTGATAAAAAACACGTTGAAATTATTGTAGAAGCTTCAAATATTTGCACATTGGCTAACAACAGTAGCAGATAATAATCGTATCATTGTACCACAAAAATATATATTTCTTTTGTATATTGAAATTTTGGCTAAAAAAATCATGTACAGATTATAAATTCATTGGAAATAATATTATACCTATCAAAAAATTTAATTCATTGCTAGCGAAGCACATATTACTGACTACTATTCAACTCTTTGTAGTATGAAACATTCTACATTCCTTACAAGGAAAACGAAGATAGAATTGTTCAAAGGAAAATAAGTCGTACAAAATTATACAGAATTATGGAAATTGAAACTTCGGAACAAATGTTCAAGATCCAAATATCGTAAATTATTTTTGAAAATAAGTTCTAAAACATAATAAGTAAATGTTGAGTAATTGAATCAAGCCAGAAACACAAGTCAAAGGCAAATTAGTCTTCAAATGGAAAGGATCTGTGGAAAAGTAATATAAGAAAAATTATATAAAAACAACAAATTTTTTGATAGATTGTTGTAGATGTAGACATGTTAAAAAAACATCAACAATTAAAGAAAATTTAAAATTTATTAATTGAAAAGGCCACTCCATAACTGGCTAAATAAACTGGAATCAAATTTGTTTATTCTTGGTGATTATTTAGTCAATATTAGTTAAAGTATGAAAACTTATAAAGATACTTACATTTTCTGTACGTACGCCCTAAAAATTAGTATTCAAACTCCTCAGTGTTTTTGCCCTCAATTGACGAAACTACTTTAATAAAACATAATCCTTAAATCCTTAATCGCATCAGTTCTACATGTGGAATAGAGATTTGGTGATCAACTGGCCAAAGAAGCCTAGAGCCTCTGAAAGTTACTGAATTTTTTTTCCTGTAATAGTTGTTTAAACCAACCAAATATTTTTGGTACAAAAATTGTATTCGAAAAACTTAATATGTTTAACCATACATTCTTAAACCATCGAATCCACAAACAAACATAACTTAACAGCAGTCTACATCACTGCAACCATTCAACCAGAAGCTTAAAGAAACTTGACCGCAGTCTTTATTGAAAATTTACAAAACCTGGGCAGAAAATTTACCACTTACAAATGAAGATCTTTAAGCGTCCGAGAATATTTAATTAAAATTATACGTTTTCGTAAAATTGATCTTCAACAACTTAGAACTTTAAACATTATTGGTCCGCGTAA